ACTAGTTTTCCTTAGATAGAAAACTTTGAATCAATTTGATGGGATGATCTGATGAACTGTAAAGTGCCTTGAGATGACATGTGTTGTGAATTGGCGCTATATAAATAAACTGAACTGAATAGAAATTTAGAGGCTCTCAGTTCTGGTCGCGTTACTTTCAAGAACAGTCAGAGACTTAATGTTTCACTCTGGCTGCTTTTCCTCTGGGAAAAATAACATCATACAGAAAGGAGAACGGAACAAACCTGGCTCCATTTTATTAATTAAATAAAGGATTAGTAATATCCTGATACATTAGAGGTATATTGTCGAAAGACTATTGTTGGTGTTTGGAAATACGATCTGTTTATACTGCCTTTGTTTTCTTGTCTTTTGTTTTCCACTCATAGTCGGTCATTTAATCTAGATGTTCGGATCGTCTCTTTGTTTATAAACAAATATGTGTGTGTAATAGGAATCCATGCAAACCGGCACTATTTGAGTGGACGTCTAAGAGCACAACCACTGAATGAAGGATTCCTGTAAACATTTCCATAAAAATAATGCTTAAAAATAAACATTACCAATAAACACTGGAAGAGGTTGGAAAAAAGAGAAATCAAGCATGATTAAAAGGAACTGAGACCTTTAAAAAGGGCCGGTTTAGAACAAAAGTAATCAAGTTCTGCATTTCTAAATCCGTTTGTGGAGAAAATGAAGCAGGAAACCAAAGAATCATAATCAATATTCACAAATCAAAGGACGATAAAAGCTGCTAAACTCAGTGATCATGTCAGGAACGCCTGATGGTGATGAAAAGGAAATGATCGGGTCATATTTAGTGATGCTCGGAAAATAAACCTAAATTAAAACGTTCTTCATGTTGATGCTGGTTGTATTTATGAGCTCGTGGTAAACGTGTGGCTTTAGTTAAAGGGATCAGATCATTTCTCTTCCTGCTTCAAATGTTTATTTTCATTCTTTTGTTTTATCACAATGAGTAAATTGGATAAATACATCAGTTTTTGCAGTGCAGCATTTTATTCTTCCCTAAACTGCTGGAACATTTAAAGTCGTAGGGAAGCAGCTGTTCCAACCGCAGCATTTCTGAATTCTCCCGAGTAGTGCACAACTTTACACGTGTGAATATGATTGGTCGATTATCAAGAGGGCGGGATTATTGTGGTTTGAAAGTAAGTTTGATTGCGGCTGTTTTCTTTGAAGCATCTTGCTAACCAGTTAGCAACTTAGTGCTAGTAGGTTCCCAATGG